CCTAGAGAACCCTTTGCTATATATACCTGAATAAAAATCCTAGCTCCCAAGAGGGTAGACGTTAAAAAAAAAAAAATATAATAATAATAATAATAATTTGTAAATATTAAAAAAAACTATTAAAATTTAATTTATAATCTATATATTGTATACTATATTTAAATTTCTTTTAATTATTATTAAAATTTAAAATTAATATAAAATTTTAAATAAAGTTTAAATATTAGTCTCAATTTTAGTTAGCATAAGGTTTATGGAAATTCTAAACATTTTTGTTTAATACTTCTAACGTAAGTTAGCTAATAGGTTTTTGAAATATAGCACCTCGGTAAATTTTTCTCTCGGTTAAAATTAGCAATACTCTAAATTTATATTTAATTTTAAAAAATTTTTAAATAGTTTAAACAAATTTTAATTGTATAATTATTTAAACCTAATTTAACTACAAAACTTTAATATAAAAATTACATACTATGTATTTTTTAATACCTATTATGAAAAGAATTTTTTTAAAAAAATTTTTTATTAGTTAATTTTATATTATATTACAAAAATTAAAATTAAACTATTTTATAATTTAAATCTAAGTACCTATAATCTTAAAACAGATTTTATTAAGTAAATATCTATGTGGTTTAATTATATAGCAGATTAGCTTTCATTTTGAACTATTTTTTATCAATTTATGGCGATATGATCGCACATATCTGGAAGGCCCGTATTCGTTAGGAATAGGAATCTTAAAAGTGCATTCCTCATCAGATGAATCATAATATTCATTATCCGGTGCGATATGTTTGTCTCTTAGCCGTCCTATATGAAATAAGCCAAATATTAATAATTATATGTCCAACGAATCTTGTAAATAGAATTAAATATTCGGTATACTTGAAATTCGTTCGTCCGGATTATCATCATCCAAATGTTCATCGAATTCATAGCTTTTTCCTGGTATATCTATAAATAAAGTAGCAATCCAGATTATAAAAAATTACAAATTAGTAATAAAGAGCTTAATAAACCTTGTAATTGGACACTGGGCGTATGCCTAGATCGATCCAAATTTTCAAATACTTTGACACTAGCGGAAAAATTATATGTTGAAAAAAGAAAATTAAGCATGTAAATTCATAATTGTAGGCTTACGTTATCTTTTCTAAATATTCTCTCGTATTCTTATTTTCCATATTGCTTGAAAGAACATCTATTTTATTATCATGTCCAAAATATTCAAAATAATCGTGCTCTGAACGTTGAGGTAATTCTATAAAAAATAAATTGGTTAAATCATATTTAAAAATTAGCAATATCCAGAAATGAAAGATCTAACCTGGTCCAACCTCCTGTCCAACAATCACACCAGTTTCATATGCCCAAGCCCTTGACACATTTCGTACAGTGTAACCGCCACCTCCCAATACTAACATTGGAATGTTAAATTTTTTGACAAATCGCACACAGTGTGCGTGGCCTGCAAATAATGGTAAAGATAGGGAAGTGAGAGATAGCTATATAGTTAACATATTAACGACAGTGGATGTTATTCGTTTACCTTTTGATGACAGATTGAAGCAACCAAGACGATCACCACTTAGTGAATCCGCGCCGCATTGCAAAACGATCACTTCAGGTTGATACCATTCAATGACTCGTGTAACTACCTAACAAAATATTAAATAATTGCATCAAAAAGTGTGCAAAGGTAGAAAATGAATAATCTTTGAAATTATAAAATAAAACCAACCGGTTCGAATACGCTTTCTATACAACTGACCGCGTAATGACGTTGAGTTTTCATAATTTCGGAGAATATTTTCCGGGAACGGGAGATATAATGTATGTTTATATATTAGACATTAGGATGAATCCGATGAGCAGAGAAATGCACGGCGGTGGGTTTTCTATGGACGGTGTTCTCGGATTTCAGAGATGGTACTGCAT